GGGACGGATGAACCAAGTGAAACGGCTGGTACTGATATTGAGAACTGTGTTATTTGTGGTTCTGGTTTGGTTTTGTTTTTTTTTTTTTTTGTTTGGTAGCTCTAGTCTGATCCACGGCCTGAGCACCCATTAGTGGTTGGTATATGATATCATACCAGTTTAACTTACATTCCTTTCTCACATGATGCAATTGCTTAAGCATTTTTAATTATGAATAGCAGTGAATCATGAGGAAAACAAGATTTCTTGCAAATGAGGCATCCATAAATCAAGGATAAACAAAGCTGCGTTTGGTATGTGGACGACGTTTTTTTCCCATGACAGTGTTGCAAGCCAGTGAGTGAGTGTCTGAAAATTAATGATACAGATGTAATAGATGAATATTAAATGACAGGAATATACAATAAAATTATAAATAAAAAAAGTGTAACGTAGTTTATAGTACTGACTTTTCTAGGCTTCCAACAGTGGGAAGCTATAGAATAATGATGTTAAATTTAAGACCCTGTTAAAATATGTGATTAAATATGCAGATCAAGAAGAATTTTAGTTGTTGAATCATTTAAAACTTTAATGGTTATACCTTTGGTAGTATGTCCTTTGACATAGTTTTTACTGTATTGTAAGTAGAGCTTATTTATGTTAGTTTCATGTTTTCTCACACTTTCAGTATTTCTATTAGTTTAGGTTCTTAATTGGATTATTTTTCCCACTCTGCTTGAAAGCACTAAAGCATACGTAACATGCTGTACCTTAATGAGGCTTTTCCGCTTTTCTTCTGTATCTCGCCACGTACGACATCAGGAGGACTTAGCGTTTAGGGGTGTGTTGATGGTTGGAGAAGCTGCTGTGATGGTTTGTAAGCAGAGGTGCTGATGGCCAGCTGAAATGGGCTTGTTGGATCGCACCTCCCCAGGGAGCAAACCTGGTCCCATGAAGTGACTTCCATGGTTGTGGTCTCACGGGAATGTGGTGGTCCGTTGAAGTACTGAGCTGGGTGACCAGTGCTGAAAGACGAAGGAATGACAGCTCCTGCAAGCAACACCATGTGTTCTTGGCTTCACAGCAAAGGATGAATTAGTCCCAAGAGAAAAGATTGCTCTGTCTCTTCCAGAACTAGATGTACAACTTCTCAGAGCTCTCTTCTTTGAGAAGCAGCATGTTTTAGGTTTGGGTGGGTGTTCAATGGCCAACTAAAGGCTTCTCAAAGTAATTTGTTGTTGCAGTAATGCTCCTTCTCCTTTGGAAGGATGCTCTGCATGAAAGCTTGCTCGTGTCTTTCCAAACAGAATTTGGTCTTCTCCAGTTCCAAAGCTTTGTTCAACTTAACCTTTTCCATCCTCTTATGTTTTGATACTGAAATCAATTAATCTCATAAGCATTTTCATACCTTTATAAGTACTGTACTGTTAATTTTTCTAATGTAAATATTTATTAACTAGAAGATGGCAGGTTTAATACTAGACATGACTAGGTGACTCCAAAACCTAATAATTCTGTTCTTTTAGTGTCACAATGCTCGTTATTAATTAGTGCTTGAAATTATTTCTTTAAAAAAAAAAGTGAGTAACTGCTGATTACCTAAAATTCCCACAAAGACTTTAACCATCACTTCAGAGCAAATTTAGAGGACTCTGGGACTGTTGCACTGCTGCTTGCTCCTCCCCGTGTTTCCTCTCTCTCTCTCTCTTT